CATTAAAAAATATGTATTTGAAAACAATAATGTATTTAAGTCATACTTCAAATATGACATGATCGGTTTGTCATTGTAATTAGTATTTAGATATGAACCTTCATTAGAGAAATGAAGTACTAATTGCTAATTAATAAATTTTATAATATTCGTTCACACTGTGGATTATTGTAAACTACCCCTAAATATATATTGTTTTCACAATTTTACTTATCATGTAATTGTGTTTGAAGAACTTCATGTAATTAAAATTAACATACATTCATTGACTGCTTGTTTTTTTTTTACTTTTTCGTTGGATATATAATCTCATTCTTTGAACAGCTGTAAAATATTTTTCTGATTCAGATTTTTTATTAAATGAAAATTTGTACTACGATGTAACTTTAAAATGTTTATTTATCTATGCCGATTTCCTTGTTGATATCGGTACGCATACGACAGATCTCTATTCACATACACGACTTCTAATCACAATCGACCCGTGTCTCTTTCTATTTGTCTACTTGTCTACCTGTCTACTTGTTCACCTGTCATTGTGTATCAATATTCTTGCATGCAGACATACACACATTTTATGGTACATATGCCAAAATATTTAGAAACCCTGAAACGTAAAGATATGCAACAATTTTCATTTACCATTTGTTGCGATTATTATAACTTACCCTACGGGAAGTTAAAAAAGTTAAAGAATGTATTAACTATATATCTAGATTTAATAACTGTATATCGTAAAAAATAATATGAAGCGTTAGGAAATCTAAAGCTGTGTAAGGAATAAATCATTTTTTTCTTAAATCCGATAAGATTTCCGTTGATTACATAACGGGAAACTAACGGATGCATCTTCAGCGTAAAATTCTATATATAGCAAATAACGGCTGAATTTTTCAAATGAGATTCTTCGTCATATTTATTCCAAGATCTCCACATAATTTGGATATAAATAGATTTTATGTCGTAATAAAAGTTGCCGAGATCACAACTTTCTTTTCTCGAAGGTGTTTCACATTGATAATTCGTGTGGTCAGTTATTTATATCTAGTAATTATAATAAGGATTTAAATTCTGGTTTATTTATGTAATCCCTGAATAATTAAGCAGTATCGTAATTTTCTGAAATCTTATCGATTACTAGACTTGCAGAACCTGTTAGGAATCGTTAGGAAAGTTTTTAATTTTTAATACTTTTACATTTTTTTATCTTAAAGCATCATTTTCGTTAAGCTTCCTTTTTATGCTTTAATAATGCTTAAGTGTTCTATAATTTTCAACTTAATTTTAATACATTTTATTTATCATTTTTCTATATTACGATTTTTCTCTATATCTAATTTTCCTCTATATTTCAATGGTTAATTTCTTATCAAGATATATCTCAATATGTTGCAGGATTTCTAAACAATAAATCATGAATTCGGTCGTCCATTGATTGTGGTCAAAGATGTTTTTCAATTGGCTCTTGTCAGAAATAATTATCAATGATATATAGATATGGAATATTTATAATAATACAATTAAAAAATAAATAAGCGAAATTGCGTGACTATTACTAGTTAGTATAGAATTCTAGAATTGCATTTGTTTCTAAAGAGCACACATGCAGATATGTAATGATTTATTCAATGTATTTGTTAGTAAAAATGCAAACAAATTCATATGTAATAAATTATAATAATTCATATTGTTGTTTTTTTGTAATTTTACTAGAATAAATAGTTTTGAAAATTAGATTTTTTACCGCACAATTGTGAACTTTATTTATAAAAGTAGGAAGAATGAAGACCACCATCTTCTGTGGCAAAAAATCAAACAATTTTGTGGTTATTTTCTGTTTATCTTAAATATTTGCAATTTTTACATATTCATGCTTAAGAAAAATAATAGATAATATTTACTTTATTTTAACCCTTTCCAATCGGATGCCGCCGAAAATTTATATAAATCTCGGTATTCGCAAGTAGAAAGGGCTTCTCTATAACATTCTATACTTCAGCAAACTCATACTTACATGGAAAACTGCGAAATTTATGTCTTTTAAACTTTTATAACAATATGTAGGTTTATATAATTTAAACATATTAGTTTACTAATATTTCTGCCAAATAATAAGATGGGAATGAACATTTTCATTCTCCTTTTTTTCTTCTAGAAGAGAAAATGTTTATTTTCCTATGTGATGTACGCTAATATTAGCAAAAACCATGTCATTTTTAGGTTTTTATTTTTTTACTTGAAATTTTTCAATTATGAAATTTTTAAGTATTTTACCATTTTTCAATCCTAATTAAATGAGCCAACTTTTGATGGAAATTTTCAACACATTTTAGTACATTTTTTTTAAAGGAGGATCCCTCAAAGACGAACGACTTCAAAAATTTTAAATTCATAGTCGAATACAAAGTCTTACATTTTGAAAATTTGGAGCAAGTGTCGTATTTTTTCACTGAGGTCCTACAAATGTTATTCACGATTAGAGTTACAAAGTTTAAATGAACAAAATTAATAAAATTTTAATGGCCAAAAAATGGTTAAAATTTCACCAAAGCGCCAAGTTGCACTTAAAAGCTCACAATTTCCGTTTCTACTTGACGTCAAGGTCTGGAACACCCTGTATATATATATAATGTCATTTTTATGATTTTTTATGATTTGATTTGTTCTGTTTCTTTATTTCTGATTAGCTCTGATGACGGTATAATTTTTACTTTCAAAACGTATAATTTATAAAATGATATGCCGACCAATATGTGGTATGTCAAATATTATTGCTTTAATTTTAGACATACAATTTGCACAATCAAGATTTTATTTACTTGAAATCACATCAGATTTTTTGTTTACTGCGTATATTAAATAAAACATCAAAATAGCACGTGTAAGAGAAATATTGCATAAATTTGCAGTAAGTTATACATAGAGCGACGTTTATTTTTTATATACCAAATCAAGTCAAGGTCCTCTAAAGAAAGGAAGACAAAAGCATATAATTATTTTGTTTATAGCCGAGATCAAGAAAGAAGTATTTGTATGAGTACGTTCCATTAAAGTGTTATTCGCGAATAATATATGCGTGTTACTAACCGAATCGCAATAATAAAAATTATCCAGCAGAAATAAATTAAATTAAATGTATCGTGGAATGATACACTTGAAATAACCCATACTGAATTGAATAAACCGCACCTGGATATTGAAAATAATTTACATTTTTATGTATATGAAATGTTCTGCAAATTTTAAAATATTACCAGGAAGAAAGAGTAAATAAATTCTCGTTCTCTCTTTATTTAAAACAATATCATTCTTTTTTCATATATTAAATTATTCTGCCCAACACTGGTACACAAATAACTTTATCATATATGTACATAAATCATAGTCTATGATTTCATCTATGATTCATAGATAATACATATAATATAAAATATTATTAGATTTTTAAGAAATGGACAAAATTGTATTTTCCATATAATTCTGCTTTAATTAGCTATGTAACTTGTCTAGTACTATTTATTACTTTACACATAATAAAATTTCATAAACACCTGTGTTTAATCACCTGCAGAAACTGGAAAATTAAAATTTCAAATTTTATTACTCAAATATAAATATTATGTCAAAACATATTGCATGTGCAACATGATCATAAATTTTTAGCTTCTATAATTGTCACTTGTGAAAAGCTACAGAAACTGGTTTTGTTAAAAATAGATAAATGAGCAATTTTCAATAAATATAGCCCGAGCAAAACATTACATATTTATAATTTTCGCATCATATTTTTATGAAGATGCACTGAATTTGCATAAATAATACTTGTTTATGAATCTTGAAGAATAATTATGTGCTAAGTATAATTTGCATTTTATTGGCGAGATCTTGAAATATTAGATGTTTCTCAAGAGTAAAACTAATTATGACATCTTCTTTTCATAACTTTTCAACTATATGAATAATAGATAGGAAACTCTTGAGTTTATTGCCTGATTAATAATGTTAAGAATTTTTTTTTTTAATTTTTAATATAAATTAATGTCTTATATTAGACATTCAGTAATTAGTATGGTGCATTTAAATTTATTGGCTTATAAAAGGCTATCCTACAGTAGACTAAATAATTATTGGTAACATATAAATTAATATATACAATATACAGCAATAAGTAACTAGTTCGTATTGGTATTTTGCTTTGCGGCAAGTTACATGAACTTACCGATATGTTTAAATAATTGACTTAATCGATAAAAAATAAATTTATTTATGAGTGTTTATAGTATTCCGAGTGGATTTATTTCACATAATTAAAAACGAACGAACACGTTAACTTGGAGTATTTTCTAGAAGCAAATTTTCAAAAATCAACAATTTTTATAATTGAACAAGTTTCCGTAGGACTGTAATGGTTTAGTATGTTCATTAAGACCAAGTACTCTATCGTTATACCAAGTAAATCGTCTAATTTTAATTTTAACAAACGTCAAAAAAAACTAATCATTTTCTCAAACTTTGATGAATTTTTAAAATTAAACTACTTGTGGTAAGGTCGTAATATTTCAGTAAGATCTATAAGACCATGATGTATATCATCGTCGATTACGCCTAAAAGTCTGTTACACACATTCTTATTTGGTTAAATTTAATCTTTATTTTTAAAAGAGTAAGTAGTATTATAGATTATAACTTTGAATATAAATATTTCATTTAGTCATTAAAGTCTCTAGTCTCTAGTCTCAAAGTTTAGAGGGTTTAAAATTATCACACAAACAACTTCTTGAAAATAATTTATTGTATCGAACAATAAATATGCAATGATTAAATATAAATCTGTTCAAAAATGTAATAGATTAATTTTTGCTGATCATAGTTTCTATGTTAAAAATTTGCTTCAACATTTGATCAAAAACTTCATACATACTAAATCATTTATCATTTATCCCAGTATATAAGATTGCACACACTTGTTTTTCTATTAATGAAGAATTTTTTAATTCCAGGGACGAACAACCTTTTTCATAGGCCAATATTTCTGAATAATATGGCCTTAGTATTCAAAACGCAATGATGTCGGCGACAGGCGTAGCGGCGCTAGTTGCAGCGCTTTTGCTATGCCAGGCATCTTGTTCACAACATTATGGTAAGAAGAAATACTATTATAAATATAATATGAAAACAGAAATTATTTTTTAAAACATAATATATCATCTTATTATAGTCCGTATTTACAACTTATCTTAATAAATTAAGTGGTTTATGTAGCTTATTTTTATATGACAAAAGCTATCTTTTTTTGAAGTCCGGCAATTTTATGTTTTAGAAAGCCTTTCCTACTACAACTACATATGTTTTATTATTATGTTCAAAGCACAAGTATTTTAAAAGTATAATTTTTCATAATCGTAAGAAGAAATTTGAATTTGGAGTTCAAACTCGCTCTATATTATTAAATGAAAAATTTTGGACATGAAACATTCATTCAAAACTAGCACGATTGTATTTTTTAACTTCCCGTCGGGAAAGTTATAGTAATCGCAAAAAAATCTAAAATGAAAATATGTATATATCTTCACGTTTCAGGAGTTTCTGAACATTTTAGCATACATTAGAAAAAAATGGATGTATGTATGTATATGTGTGGTGTGTGTGTGCGGATACAAATTTTCGTCGACGCGGCGCTTACGCGCTTGGATATTGCGTCTTAATTTCCAAACTAAATTTTAATAATTTCCAAAATATTTCAAACTAAAAAAAACATTTTTTCCGAAAGTTTCAGTTTCAAAAAAGTAATTGTCTTTCAAAAATTCTCTAAAATCTAATTTATTCAAAGTTTATAAAACATATTTAATCTTTTTATTTAAACACCACTTTTTTTATATAATATATTCATAATTGTGCAAACGATAAAGGTAATTGACTGAACTTTGCCAGTTATAAAAATAAATTTAACATAAATAAAAATGAATCGAAAGTAAAAAAAGATTGTAGAATTCGCCCCATTGAGACATTAGTTCAACGGTTCAACCGATTTCAATTATTCAAAAAACATTCGATTCGTATTAATAAAGAGACATGCTGTTTAGTTTTTGGCTACAGGTCTAGCGTTTTTGGCATAGGACAGGTAACTAGCTTTTTTGAAGATACAGTAAAAACAAAAGTGCCAAAAACGATAACTCAGTTTTTAAGAGAGCAGAGCGTCCGATTTTATTAATTCAAAAAACATTTTACTTGTATTAACAAGATGAAGAACTGATCAAATTTTCATGAAGGCAGGTTTAGCGGTTTCGGAGATCTAGTAATAAAAGTAAAAAAAAGCCATTTTGGCGTCAAAAATGATCATTAGACATATGCACATCAAATTATCAGATATTTTATGGAGATTTTAATAATGTGTATCAATTTTGTTAACATTTCTATGGGTTTTGTAACATCGTTCCCTTTAGACGGTAACACGGCGCATACGCGCTTCGATGTTGCGTCTCTATGCAGCTAAAGCAGTGCGGTTGCTTTGGAAAAAAGTTCAAAATTTCCATAATATTTCAAACATTTTTTTCCAAAAGTAGTTTCCAAAAAAGTATTTTTTTTCAAAAATTTAAAATTTTCAAAAATATAATTTTTTCAAAGTTTAAAACATATTTAATCTTTTTTTAAAAATTTATTTTTTGGTACAGGAAGTTCCAGCAAATTTGCCTTAAGGCATGGTGCCATACACCACTAGTTATATTCATAATTATACAAACAATTGACTGAACTTTGCCAGTTATACAAACAAATTTAACATAAATAAAAATGAATCGAAAGTAAAAAAAAATTATAGGACTTTTCCCCATGAGACATTTGTTATTTTTTATATACAGTTTCTCGTTCAATTTTCAAGACGAAATATCAAGCAAATTAACTATTATTGAGCTAGTGATATTTAAAACTACAACCAGTACAAATTTTGCAATAATTTTACGTTCACTGACCCCGTATAACATCTATTGGAACTAAAAAAGACGTAAAAAACATTTGTCAATAATGAATGTTTACTTCTCAGGCGCCTTAAACGATTGCATCGCAACCTCAGACAAGCCATTCTTGCAGGTCAAACGCACTACTCTGGGACTCGTCATACTATCCATATTGAAAATATTAATATAATATAACGTAAATGGTTTTTTTATCTTAACATTTTGTTCAGATAATTAACACACCCATTATATATACTTTTCTTATCTATGAACACACTTGTTCAATACCACTTTCACAATAATTATACTATAAATTTTTATTTTAGAAAATATTATGAATGTAACATGCAAATGAGTTTTTTAATTTTTTTAATTAAAATTAATTAATATATAACTCAAGCTGCTATATAAATAAAAAAACATAGCCTATAGATAATTAATAGATTTTAAAATTGAAAAACCAGTGAAATTATTAATATTGTTGACGTCAAATGAAAATTATCAAAATTTGTTAAGATTAATGCTGTTTCCGAGGCGGCTTAACTCGACCTGCTTTGTAAATAAAAAAACATAGCATATATAATAGATAATAGATAATTAGTAGATTTTAAAATTGGAAAGCCAGTGAAATTATTAGTATTTTTGGCATCAAATAAATATTATCAAAATCTATTAAGATTAATTTAGTTTTCGAGGCTTTTAGGCATTGGAAAACTGCATCCCGGGACGAAACATTCGCGCAGGTCAAACGCATGCTTTGGGACTCCCATGAATTTTTGGGACTCTCTGTATAAAATAGGTTATATTATGTTTATAAACCAAGGTTACAATCCACCTCAAGATTATTTATTCTATATCAGATAATTAACATATAATTATTCCGTACAATTCACATAATTATTGCCTTCAATTATTCGTTAATTGACAAGTGTGAAATTTCATACAAAATCGTTAAATAAATTCACAGTTTGCTTTAAAAATAGAATCTCTGAAAGGAGTTTTGTTTCACTTCCTAACTACTTGTTAATTAAACTCTTATGCATTGGAAATAACATTATTTTATTACTCATTATAATCACACTTCCAATACTATTCGGGAACTAATTACATTTGCATTTTTATATAATACATTAGATAATATTTTTACTTTAGCTAATTAGCTAAATCATTGTATGCATTTAGATTTTTTTGTTTATTTATATCTTGGGTGAAACGTAGCTCTATAATAGATTTGTAATATAGTTTACAAGTACAAAATTGCTCCAATTAACACCATCTCGCCTATTGTGACAATTTTTATCATATTTACACAAATGATACAACTAATGGATCTATTGTAGCATTTGAAAACACCTGTTGAGCAAAATCAATATTTACACGCCAAAATGTTAGCTTTTATATCACTGATAACAACTCAAAGGTATAAGAATTTCTTCAATAAAAAATATTATAATGCGTGCTTATAAAATTGATTGTGTTCATATTATCAACTGATAAAATTTCTGATGATTTATATTTAGCTGCAGAATGACTAATTGTAAGAGAGACTCGATTTATATTAATATCTTGAACAGTTAATATATATGTCATTCAAGTACTTATAGCTCGTCTTTTTAATTTGTAATTAAGTACTATCTATAATCTTCAAATATAATGAAAAAAAGAAATGCATAATAAATTTTATCGACTTGGACTTAAATGATAAGATAATTCATTTTTATGGCACTGTGACTAAGATGTAAAACATTTTGTTTTTGTTCCGCTACACCAATTAAAAATAAAAGTAAACAATATTGATATCATCAATAATAATTGATTAAAAGTTTTTATTTAATTTCCATTACCTTATAAATAAATAATGTTAGTCACAAGATTTTCTATTAATTTTATACTTTTTATTAATTTTTTTCGAATTTAGTATTATTGTCATTATTATTGTATAGTGTTAAAAATAAAATTAAGACTAGTGGGGTATATGGCATCGTGCCTTAAAGCAAATTGCTGGAACTTCCCGTACCGTAAAAAAATGTTCGAGGAATAGTGAATGTTTTCTCATAGATTATTATAAATATTGTCTAATATTTTTTTATAAAAAAATTATATTTTTTTGAAAAAAAAAGAAAAAAATTGAAACATTTTTATAGACATATATTATATAGACATATTATATAGACATATCCTTATCAATAGGAATCGGGATGTTTTTTGAACCATTCAAATCGGTTGATCCGTGCGCCCGAAAAATTGTATCCATACATACGTGCACACACACACACATCCCTTTTTTCTGAGGTATGCCAAAATGTTCAGAAACCTTCAAAACGTCGAGAAATGCTAAAATTTTCAATTTCGATTTTTGACGATTGCAATAACTTACCTTATCACCCTACGGGAAGTTAAAAATAAATTTCTTATATATAAAATATGAATGTTTTTTCATCATTAAATTGAGTTAATGGAAAATAAACTTGTCATCGTCGGATCTAATTCGAAGCAATTATATTCAGCCATTTTAGTAGATGACATGATAGGTTTAATATGATTTTATTGGCCTAAGTAGTTGACCTGAAGAAGTTTAGACGCTAAGGTACAATGTCGATAGGTCAATTCATAGTTATTGGCTTTCATAAGCGAAAATTACAGTGAGAATTAAAATTTTTATTCGAAAATTATTAGAAGAATTCAATAGTTATATATTTATGTGTGAAATGGTGAACTATTTTCAAGTTTATCTTATTTTTTTTCAGATTCTTTATGTGCAGGTACGAGAGAACGATATTTATCAGCTGTTGGAGAAGAGTCTTCCATAGTTTTACCTTTATCACCAATCCAAAATATTCAAGGTGTTTCGACGAGTCAATCTGGACCATGCAGGGCCAGAATCACAGCACCAGACTCACATGCCATAGGTATTAATATTATTACTATTTTTCTTAATACTCTTATTTTTCATTCGAAAACCCTTTATGATGTATGTTAATTAAATTAATGATGCATCAATTTTAATATCGAATCCATGGTTAATTTATATGTTTTTCTCAGGCCTGCGTCTGGTGGGTACGAAGACTGATACAATGGTACAAAAACCAGGTTCACTTGGAAAGTCGTCTAGGAATCATCATGGTTCACACCAAAAAGGTGGTAATGGAACTTTGTTAGGATGTCCACTGAGTGTGGTAGGTTATTT